TGTTAGATTGAGGCTTCCTGGTGGACATGCGACAGCACATCCGATTAAAATACTGGACACCTTTAGGCTGCACCTGCAAGAATTATACCGCTCCACAGGTCCACTGGAGACCTCGAGCGTGGAAGCCTTTTTCTCCTCCCTAGATCTCCCATCCCTCTCCGACGAAGACCGTAATTCGATTGATGCACCCATCACGCTAGAAGAGGTTTTGAACTCTATCAAGCTACTTAGCACTGGGAAGAGGCCTGGCCCTGATGGTTTCGGTGCCGTTTACTATAAAAAGCTAGCGGATATCTCTGGTGCAGTTCAGGAAGCTGTGGGAACCGTGGATTGAGTCGTACCTGCCTCCCTTCTTCAATGTTGACTCTTTGACAATATGAGACCCGGAAGATGAAGTGGATAGCAAAGGGAAGGTTTAACCCCCTGTAAAGTTTGTTTTGCTGTGTGTGTGCCCCTGTTCAGATGTCACCTCACTTTCTGTCCCTGTGGAGACACCTTTTCCCATCATAACTCTTACAGGAGTGAATTTCCCCTCCTAAGTGTAGGTTTACTCCCACTTCCTGTTGTCTCAAGGACAGGAAGTGAGATTAAATCTTTCTAATGAGGATACAGACAGCAGGAAAAAACCTCACAGTGACCCAGAAGAAGAGGCAGGCACCCCCCCGTCTGCACATCTAACAAGAGCCAACTTCCTGTAATGTGCATACAGTACTACAAACCAGACCCAAAAAGGCAAGCACTCCTCGTCGGCATGAGCGTGGTAGCATTACAACTACTGAAATGCTGTGCGGTACACTTTGGCTGCAGCCTGGGACCCCCTGCTCCACAGTGATAGCCTCCGTTTGTAAGTAGGGATCGTATGCAAGTCAGATGTTTGTAACTCGGGGACTGCCTGTATGTTGAAATTGTATAATATCCACAAGGACCAGAATCCGGCAATAATCAGTGTGACTTTTTGGTCCAAAGGACCAACCAGGTGCATGTGCAGGTTCTCTAACTCAGAGGGGAAGAAATGAGGGGCAGCAAGAGGAGAGGCCACGTGAAATTTAATTCCTCCTCCCTGCTTCCTATCTAGGAGCTACAGGGCGACATACCTACGCATGGCAGGTAGTACCATAGTCAGGTTGCTGCTGACATGCCTTCACCACTTGAGTGATAGCAGTTCTGGGACCTGTGACATCAGCGGCAGCATTGTTTTCAGTCTGCTGCTAAGCCCTTCACAGCTTGACTGGTAGCAGTTCTGGGACATGTGATGTCCTTTACAGTCCCCAACCCCAGCCCTCAGAACTAGGGGGAGAAGAGAGAACCTAGCCATAACATGAATGCAAATATTATCTTAAAAAAAAAAAAAAAAAAAATACAGACATTTAAATATTGTGTTTTAAATTGAAAGCAGGTTATAGAAAAAAGGTTTACAATGGTGGATTTAAGGTCACTAAAAAATAATAATAGTAACAACATCAAAGCATTAAGCAAATATTAAATAAAAAATAAATGAAAATACAGAATTTTTCCTTATGCAAGTATGAGAAGATTACGCAAAAGGAGTAAATATTAATTAACTAACTGTGCCAGGAATAAAAAAAAAACCCATCAACATACCTCTACCCTAACAGTAAACTTAGATGAAAATAATACTTGCTAGAGCTTTGGCAAAAAAACACTGCAGTGTGGCAACATGTGACAGCTTTGGAAAAGCATTAAAAACCATTGCAGAATCTTACGATCACATGAACTTTGTTTTAAGTATTATCACAACTAAAAATCAAATACAATTCTTCTAGATCACCACATTTCTCAGTAGAGCATGCACTACTTTCTTTCACAGAACTGCAGCACACGCCCGCACGGAGGCGCTTTGGCAGTGCAATGCACCCAACGTGCACTGCACTGTGGGGCAATGTGCGTTGTGTTACAGTGTGAACAGGCCCAAAGGCTATCATATAGTGAAGTAGCAAATATAAAGTAACTCAAATAAAAATTCTGAAGCAAGTGAACCTCTCTTTACAGGTGTGCTATGAAACGCAGTGCATGCTATAAATAAATGGAGCTCTGGAGATGGCCACAATTCTTCAAGAACAGGGCTGGTGTGTGCAGCATTCTGGAGCACACCATCCAAAGATGTAAACCCTAACCAGCCCTGGTAAGAACAAAGCAGTAGAACTTCCAACTTATCTGCATCTAAAAGGTCCTGTATACCTACATTAAAAAGGAGAATTATGAGGCGAGTGATTTTCACTCAGCCTCATAATCTGAGCCGACCTGTGACAATGAAACTGTCACAGGTCGGCTCAGTAGATCGGGAAGTGAGCAAACACATACCGGCGTTCGCTCACTTCTCCATCCTGTCACTGCAGAGAGCCGCGACAGGGGAGTAACTGGATTCTCCCATCCCCTGTCCTATCCTCCAGCGCTGACTGGCAGAACGAACGGGAGAGGGGGCTGGTACAGCTGGCTCTGCCTCTAGATAGGCAGAGCCAGCTGTCACTCACGCAGCTGGGCGGATCCGGGCATAATTGTCAGGATCCGTTTCAGCTGCGACGTCTCAGTATACTGAGCTTAGGGCAACGGGGGGACGCTAGTTTGTGTCCTCCAGTTACCCTTCGGAGAACTATGGGGAAAAGCCCTAACCCCATAGTTCTCCTTTAAATGCCCAAATTCAACTTTTTTGAGATTTGGATAGAATGTCTGTTGTCGGAACCTCTGTCGGTTTATTATACAGGTAATGAACAGGGACAAGGAAAAATTGTGTGAGCATAATTTAGAACATCTAGAAGGAATTTGTGTGTTGTCTGTTTCTTCTAATGACTTGTCCTGGTGTCACAGAACTGAAGCGGGGGAAATCTCCCCTATGAAGTCACAGTCAGGAACAAATCTGGCAAAATATGGAGGACAATGAGGGGGGAGGGGAGAGGAGAAAGGAGTTTTTTTTAAAACAACCAATTAATTTAACAAATTGATAATCAGGCAACTATTCGATTATGAAAATAATCGTTGGCTGCAGCCCTAATCAAATAGTAAAAAGAATAGAACTTGCGGCTATGTTTAATGATAGTAAAAAGCATTTCCACACACATTGCAAAGAGAACAAAAAATTTCAGTTTGTAGGTGAGCATCAAGATTAGACGCTCGAGCAACGGAAAAAGGTCATGTGGTCTGAGGTGTTCAGATTTACCCTGTTCCAGAGTTATGAGCGCATTAGTGTAAGACTAGAGGTGGATGAAGTGATGCACCCAGTCATGACTAGTGCCTATGGTACATACCCATGGGGCAGTGTTATGATCTGGGGTTGCTTCGACTGGTCAGGTCTAGGTTCAGCAATGTTATGTGGACAAAAAATGTGGTCAGCTGTCTACCCAAATATACTGAATGATCAGGTTTGTCCATCAATGGATTTCTTCTTTCCTGATGGCACATTGGGCATTTTCCAAGATGACAATGCCAGGATTCATCGGGCCCAGATTTTGAAAGAGTGGTTCAGGGAGCATGAGACATCATTTTCACACATGGATTGACCACCACAGAGTCCAGACCTTAACCCCATTGAGAATTTTTGGGATGTGCTGGAGAAGACTATGCAGTGATCCGACTCTCCCATCACTACAAGATCTTGGTGAAAAATAAATGCAACTCTGGATGAAAATAAATGTTGCGACATTGCATAAGCTTATCGAAATGATGCCACGGCGAATGCGTGCCGTGATCAAAAGCTAAAAGGTGGTCAGATAGATACACACACAATTTGTCACTCTCCTGAGCAGGTAGACCTTTTTGGCCAGACACACTTGAAATGTTCTTCCAATTTTTGTCTCATTTGATGAAGCTAAGAAAATTGGTTCAACTTGTATACAAAAAAAAAAAGAGTAAACAACTCGCCAATAAAATGTCGAGAAACCAGTTTGTTTTTTTTAAAGGAGAACTATGAGGCAAGTGAAAATCCCTCAGCCTCATAGTTCTAGCCGACCTGTGACAATAAAAACAGAGCGTCGCTCGCTCACTTCTCGATCTATCCCTGCAGAGAGCTGTGACTGTCACTCAGGCATTCCCCCCTCCCCTGTCCGATCCTCCAGCGCTGACTGGCGGAACTGAAAGGGGAGGGGGCGGGCACAGGTGGTTTTGCTTCTATCGAGCTGTAGCTCGCGGTACACTAAGCTTAGGATGACGCGAGGACGCTAGTTTGTGTTAGGAGAACTATGGGGAAAAGCCCTGACCCCATAGTTCTCCTTTAAGCATTATAGGACATCATTCTCAGCACACAAGTGTTAACGAACAATGGTATCATTGAACAAATACACTGGTATTACCTAATAGGCAGCGGATTTTCACAATGGTAAAAAAAGCTGCTACTTCTCCTGCAAATTATTTGCAAGAAAATAATTTGCTTTCCAAATCGTGATCAATTGCATATTTTTTGTTATTGGTAGTTTCTATAATTCTCTAAATTTTTTTTTTTATCAAATCTTTGATTGGATGAAGATCTTTTAAGTTTATAGCCAGCTTTAGTCTCACAATAGCACTCATGCTGGGAATCCCTTCTGGTACTTATGTTTACACAGCCATAGAATATTGTACACACAAAAGATCCTTGTTCTTGTTATCTGCAGCCTCTCATCTCCCACAGAGTCCCTTAGGACTAGATAATCTCAAAATATAGTAAAATTTGTCCATGGGCCACCAATACTATTTCATTGTTCGCTTGCAAAAGACACAAAGATCAGTGAGCGGTTTCTAGTGCAAATCTCTGGGATATTAAAACAGAAGCCAAGCTAGCATGTTTGAGCACTAGGGGGAAGAAGGTACAAAGTCTTAACATTTACATCTATAGGAAATAGCATTATCTTAAATTTTTAAAGAGACCAAGACAGCTTGAATTCATCTCCAGGTAAAAGTAGGAAACCCTTCTAATTCATCTAACATAATAGTTTAGAAAATATTGGGCAGTTAATGCATACCAGTCATTTTGCTGATATGTATAAAGTCTTGCAGAGAATATTACTTACCTTTATTCAAGTAAATAGGGCACGGGTAACTGCCAGATTCCTAATAAGGATTTCTACCTAAGGTAAACATAAAATAAAGAAATAATAAAATAAACTGTTTAGTGCAAGACATTTTTTTTTAAACTTGGCAGTGGAAGTAATTCTTAGGATAACTGCTTTGTAGCAATATGATGACTACATTTAAACACATATATTCATTTATTCCACCACAGTGTGACCAGTTACTGAAGTTACTAAGTACTTCCAAATCTGGTTTGAATGATCCACATACTAATATATACATCGATCAGCCATAACATTATAACCACCGAGTAGTGAAGTGGGTGGGATATATTAGACGGCAAGTGAGCATTTATTTTGTTCCTGAAGTTCATGTGTTGGAAGCAAAACAAAAAAAGGGCAAGCGCAAAGATTGTTCAAGGGCCAAATTGTGAAGGCTAGACGACTGCGTCAGAGCAATATCAAAATTCCAGCGCTCCTATGGGAGGTGTTCACAGTCTGCGCTCCTGTGGGAGGTGTTCACAGTCTGCAGTGATCCGGACCTACTAAAAAGAGGTCCAAGGAAGGAAAACGGGCAACATGCTCATGGGCAGCCAAGGCTCATTGATGCAGGTGGAGAGCGAAGGCTGGCCCATGTAGTTCGATGCAATAGAAGAGCTACTGTAGCTCAAACTGCTGAATAAGTTAATGCTGGTTCTGATAGAAAGGTGCATTGTTTGTTACATATGAGGCTGCGTAGCTGCAGACTGCTCAGGGTGCCCATGCTGACCAAAGTCTACCACAAAAAGCGCCTGCAGTGAGCAGAGAACAATGGAAGAAGGTGGCCTGGTCTGATGAATCACGTTTTCTTTTGCATCATGTGGATGGCTGGGTGGGTGCGTGTCGCTTGCCTGGGGCATAAGGGCACCAGGATGCACTATGGGAAGAAGGTAAACCGGCTTAGGTAGGTTTGTTGATTTGAGCAATGTTCTGCTGGGAAACCTTGGGTCCTGCCATTCATGTGGATGTTACTTTGTACATGTACCACCTTCCTAATGATTGTTGCTGGCCAAGTACACCCCTTCATGGAAACTGTTTCCCCTAACGGCAGGGGCCTCTTTTAGCAGGATAATGCTCCCTGTAACATTTCAAAATGGTTTGAGGAACGCAACAATGAGTTTGTGGGTTTGAGGTGTTGACTTGGCCTCCAATTTCTCCAGATCGCAATCCAATCAAGAATCTCTGGGATGGCTGAAAAAACAAGATCCATGGAGGCCCAACCTCGCAACTTACAGGACTTAAAGGATATGCTACTGATGGCTTAATGCCAGATACCACAGCATACCTTCAGAGGTCTAGTGGAGTCCATTCCTCAATGGGTCAGGGCTGTTTTGGTGGCAAAAGGGGGACCTACTGAATATTAGGCGGGTGGTCATAATGTTATGGCTTATAGGCATATGTGTATATTTACGCTTCCTGCTGAGGACGCATGGAAAATCATTCCTACACATTTTACACAGCTGTTGGCTTTCAAACCTGGCTGTCAATGACGGCCTGGGACCCTACTAATGAAAGGGTACCCATTAGAGTGATTCCCAAAAATGTGATCACCATGTCAGCTAAGTCAGTGATTACATGAAGCCTTCATTCAGAAAATGGTTTCAGCTTGCAGAGACCAATGCGTTCTGTATAGCACTGTGCCTCTGTTTAAAACTGGAATTGTCTGATACAATTATAGTATTAAAGTAAACTTTTTAGCCTAGAATTGAACAGTGCAGGGTATTTAATCAAACAATGTTCCATTTGAATTCTTATGTCCTTAAAAAAAAAAAAAAGTGACCAACTAAAGTTATAGCCAAGTTGATATACTGTTTTCTGCTAAATGTGCGGCAGGTATCTACTCTTCAATGACCTCTGGACACAAAAGGGTTAACCAATGATATTAACAGTGTTGTCAGATTAATAGCTCTTTGAATATAAAGGGAGCCATTAACCTTCCTGATTGGGCCTGCTGACGCATTTGTCAACAGTGCTGTCGGACAACTGACTGGGGGATTGCTAGGATGTTGCATGCCTGAAATCATGAGGCTCCCCGACTGAAGTGATGCTCAAGTCCCTACATCTGTTACCAATCAGAAGCCATAAACAGCACATCACTATATGGTGCAGTCAGCTTTCCCCTTGTTTCCAAGTTTGTCAAAAAGAGTATAGTATCTGCACCTATGCTGCAAAAAAAGAAATGCATAAAAAATATATATAAAATTATTTTTTGCACTTCTCTATATTAAAAAGATAAAATAACTTCACGGGTTACGCTGGCTCAGAGGAGCCAAGAAACATATGTATTTATTCTCCACACGAATGGTCTGCTGCTCATGGCTGTTGGCTGCAAAAGTGGATATTTTATTTTCCAACGATATGTTTATATCACATCTGGCAATGCAATGCAATGCAATACACTGCATACATCCTAGTACTGCAAGCCAGGAAAAGTGTCAATTTATTTCTCACAAGCAGAAAATTCCTGCTATTCCACCATTTACATTTTAGGTCTTATACAAAACAGACTCCGCTTCTGCAGAAATAAACCAAAAATGGGGCTAAAAAAAAAAAGTGAGAAAGATAAACTTTAAAGTGTATTTCCACTTTTGCTCACACAGTGAAGGTATATAAGCATTTCTATTTTTTAATTAATGGAGCTTTTGCATCACACAGTAGCTGCAAATAGGACCCGTTTAAACTGTCACACAGCAGCCTTTCAATGTACTTTAGGGCCCATTCACACCATATGCAGATTACCTCCAGACCAGACTGTTTCCAGACCCAAAATGCATCCCAATGCTATTTCTGGGCTCTGTTCCCATCAGCGTAGTCCGTTCCAGACCAAAAAAATACTGCAGGTCTCATTTTGTCTGGTCTGGAATGCACTGGAACACATCAAAAACGCATGGATCGCACCCATAAGACCATTTTAAGCTAAACAAAAAAAATTCTAAAACGCGGCAAAAACACAATGCACTGCATTCCAGATCTGGTCCGGAAAAGGGTGTGAACCCAGCCTTTATACCAAATTTGATAAAAGTACTTGATGAATAAATGAACAGGTCTGGTCTGCTGTAGAGTAAAAGTACCCTCTGCCGAGGTATTTCTGCCATACAGGTCCCACTGCTGTGCTTGCACTGATTACAGTAGGACTGTCTGGGGGAAAAAAAGTCCTGAAAACTATTTAAAACCCCCAAACATTATATGTTTTCTGAAAGCCAAGACCCTATAGAATGAATTGGCGGTAGTTGCAAAATTTTATGTTGCAGGATATTAGTGCAACTTAGTGCAGCAAAGCTGCCAGAATCGCTTTTACTGTAAAGCCGACAGTGGACGCCACTGGTCATGAAGGAGTTAATCTACTAGCAGAAGGCTTGTGTGACGTGTTTCGCTGCAGTCTTTGCAAGCCAAATGCTTCAAAAAAAAAAAAGCAACACACACACAGAAACCACTTTTGTATCAAGCAAAGTTTTACTGAACCTTAGTGTATTATGCCACCCTGCCCACATGTCAGATAATTGGCAGCCGCTTAGTGAAAGCTTACCAGAATGAGCCACATAATTGGGACATCCTCCAATATCCTTGTAACACTTATGCAAACATGTGAATGAGATGCAGACTCAAATCTAAACTTTTACTTGTGCTACTTCCTGCGAGAGGCACTGGGACTTAAATTTTATTTTCAATATATATATATTATAAGCTTCCAATTCTATGCAAAAATGGTGCTTGTGGTGTTTTTCCTCTATATTTATAAGCTACCCACATACATAGTTTCTCTCTCTCTTTCTCTCTCTCTCCTCTTTTGCAAATCTCTCTCAAACAGTAAGAAGGGAAATCTAGTAAGCCAAGTGTTAACAGTTACAAAGCAATTCCTTAATGGGATGGAAATGTACTGCGGGATTTCACAACACAAGAAAGGGACAGTGACAGTCTAAACAAAACATGTGCATTGAACCAACACGTGGGCTGAAGATGTTTTCTAAAACCTTAATCTCTTTTCCTCATCATAAAACAAGGCACATGTGACTGCTGCTATGAGCTGGTGAAAATGCTAAACAATGATGCATTGGGTAAAAGGGTATTATGTTCCGATTATGTCCTTTTATTCTGAGACGTTCACCGACAATGTAAAAGGTCCAGGAGACTTACCGATAACCAGGTACTGCATGTGAGCGTGTACAGCGTTCTGAACCACTACCAGGCTTTTAACCTTAAAGTGGACCGTTACCCCCGACTAAAAATCACATCAGCACACAGCTCTGCATGCTGATATGGAATTATCTTACATACATTATCAAAAAAAAAAAATTTATATTACTTACAATGTCTTTTTTCCCCACTTCCTGGTGCACTTTGGCACAAATGATGTAATGTGCCCAAGCATTGCATCCTGCAAAGGTTACATGAGCAGTGCATTGCTGGGAAATCTCATGAGATCTCAGGGAAAGGCATTTTCCTCCCCTGAGATGTGCATGGTCACATGTCCTAGTCCAGTGGTGGCGAACCGAGGGCACGCGGGGCCCTCTCTGCTGGCACGCGAGCCCAGGTTCAAAGGCCTAAGGCAGTGATGTTGAATGTTACTTAAACCCCGAGCGCCCGAACTGCAATACAGTACTAAAAACTTATTTTCAGCGCTGGCACTTTGAGGTAAATAAATTGATTTTGCGTTGCAGTTTCGGCACTCGGGTTCAAAAAGATTTGCCATCACTGTCCTAGTCACATGTGCAAGAGTTCCAGGAAGTAAAAGGAAGATCTGCCCTTAGTTAAAATGGCCAGTGTAAAAAGACTGGGGAAGAAAAAATAAATAAGGTATGGAAAAAATAAAGACGGCAATGATCTAGAAGTATCTGTTAACTAAACATTTCTAAAAGGTGCCTTTGTGGTTATTTTGAAGATGAGGGGAAGTTCCTCTTTAAGATGCAATAAGATTTTAATAAAATATAAATATGGCAAAAGGGAAAATTAAGCACCCCATTAACATTTTATAAGAGATTCTTCACTGATGGCATGAACAATGTCAGCTAGAACAGGCAGAGTTCTGAATGCTGAAAGCAGAGTAGAATTTTGTTGTAATATATCACACTAGACTACAGCCCAAGCTCACGTGTTCATTAGAGGAGAGTCTGAACCAAGCCCAATCTATATTTGGAACTTGAGGGACATTTAAAATGAACCTGGCCAAAAATGAAGGCCATGTGCACACAGCAATTACTGTGCAACATGCAAGGTAGTGGAAATAACACTTTCCACTTCATCTACAAGAATAAAGCTGACCATACATGGTTGGTGGGTTCCTACAGAAAAGGACGAAATTAAAGCTGTGGGTGGCATCTTCAGGACCAACCGGCTTAACTAAAATTGACTGAGCAAGGTGGAAAATTATGGGCCAAACAGGCTGTGGGGTTCTCAGGCTGGCTGAACACAATAGCCGACATGCGAGCTGAACATGAGAAATATAGTTGTGCATGGGCAGAACTACCAAAAATTTGATTTTTTTTTTACTCTAAAAATAAAATAAAAAAAAGAAGGAAGGTCTCTTTAGAAGAAATGTAAAAATAGCAATTAAATCTACAGTAAAACAGAAGACACTGTTGAACGCGGCGGATAGAACGTGTTGCTGCTAACACTTCCTCAGAAAAAAAAAAAAAGAAACAAAAACGTCATTGTTTTGAAAAAACCACAGGGTCACCTACTTTTTGGAAAAGGGTCAAAGCACAGAGAAACGGCTCATGTATCTGTGCAAACATTTTGAATTGTTATACAAGCAAACACCATAAAAATAAAAAAGTTACAGCCTGCCAGGGGCAGATTCCATCCATGTTTAAAAGGCAGGATGGAGTCGGTGTAAAATGACCACATACATATACCAAAGTAGGGCTGCAACAAACCAATTGATTCATCGATAATAATTGATTATGAGAATTGTCAACTATTCTCATTATCAATTGGTTGGTTGGATGGAGGAGGGTAAAGCAAGCAGTGGGCGGTGCAATATGAAATGGCCAATATCAGGCTGGCTAATGCACCAGCTCACCATCTGCTGTATTTACATTCCGCTGCCATCTGCATCTTGCCACTGGCAGCCGTAATTTCCTGGCTGAAGCTTTTTAAGTGCCATGTGCTTACAATATAGTTATTAAAACAAAACAAAAACCACACACAATTTTTTTTTTTTCGGTTTTGGCCTGACAAATTCTGCTGAGGGAGGGTCGTTGCAGTGCCATTTATTTCAATGGCACCCCAAAATAGTCTCCCACCCAGTGTGATTGCCCGCAGGGTACTGCAATGCTGTGCCTTCCAGTGCAGTGTGATTCCAAGAAATTCTGCATGCAGGTTTTTTCTGAAGTAAACTTTGTAACACTGCATTTGTGTATTTTATTTTAAATTAAGGATAGTATTTAGATTTTTTATAATCTGATTAGTCGGAAAAAAAAAAAAAAAAATCGGCCAACTAATCGATTATGAAAATAATTAGTTGCAGCCCTATTCCGAAGTTAAAGGATTTTACATGGTATCTACTACATACTTCAGCAACATCTTCCATTCTAAGTAATAGGTGAGGAAACCAGGTCATACGTATCCCAGAAAGCTTAAAGCACATGCCAATTGTATCTGGGTGATAGTTTAAGCACTATCATAAATTTGTATCGTTTTGCATTTAAAAAAAATAAAATACTCCTCCTGCAGCCTCTTTGCAGTCACTTCCGGTCTGCACGCACTCCAACACATGCATGGCATCTCTGAGGGCTGGATTCTTGATGGTGGCAACGGTGGACACTGCCAGGGTAATGCATGTAGAAACAGCAGCTAGTAGTCTCCACTGGAAGATGATAGGGTGACAATGCAAGAGGACATTTGGGAGACAGGGACAGAGTTGTCATTCTATAATGCCTCAACAAAGACCTTCATGGCAAGATTCCCAGGTATTTTAATTAAAGCTGCAGATTTAAAAAATACTGAAGATCTTGAAATTACTATAACAAAAGCTACACAAGATGGTATTGATTAGGTTTACAGCTATTATTTTACATGGAGCCATCAGGGGAACTGTTCTGGTACAAGTTTATGGTCACTAAAGCGACCATGAGCTTGTAGCAAAACAATAAAAGCCACTGATGTAGGGCATAGTGATGTGGCCAGTTACAAGCGGTTGTGTTCTGCCGTAAGCCACATGTCGGTGGCAGCGAAAAGGTTAAACCAAGGGTTTCTCATCTCTTAGTGGTCTCGGCTGGTCAGAGCTCTCCATCCAAGTCCCCAAACTTAAGTAGCCTATTTAACACTTAAAAGGGAGTCAGTTTCCATTTTGGATTTTTATTTTCTATTCTGGAGAATAAGGGCTCATTCACATAGGCATGCACAGCCATGCAGAGATCTGCTCCCAGGATGAACACTGTCTGCATCCAAGTGTGGGCACCTTGACCTGCACCAATGTGCACGTGGGTCGGCGCAAAGCCTTCAGGTGGGCCCACGTGTAAGGAGTCCAAGCCCGCAATCACATCTGCAAGTGGTATGAAGGAGTGTCATGTTCGCACACGTTTGTCACACATTCTGGCCCCATATAATAAAATTAACCAAACTTTCATTTAAATTATAGATTATTATTTAGATTATAATCGATTTAAAAATCGACAAGCTGTTGCAGCCCTAGACTCAAATGATTAAAACAACGGACCCATCAAGCAACCAACATTTTCACAAAGTCAGCAAGGTAAGCTCAAATAATTCTTATTATGACAGGACTACCAATGAGCCCCTCAGAATCTAAAAATGCCTGAACAATGCCACACTTACTATGACTACACATAACTGTGTGAACCCTCCAATTCATTTCTGTGCGGACAGGGCCGAGTAACTGATGGTTAGATTTGCTCCCTCCTGCATAGGACTGTTCTTACACACCTACCGTAATTATTTCTTCAGCGCAGTCTCCATGGTGGAATCTTGCAGTTCTCCAGTTGAAATATTTTAGTTTGTCCACATAATTCTAAGTGCTGAAGAGCTTCTGTGCTCGAGTGCAAGGCAAGCAGACAAGTGCGAGTTCAGGAAAGAAGATGAGATCTCCACTTCCAGTGCAAAAACGCCCTTTATTTAGACTTCTGCCGAAAGACCTGCAGACAAAAAACACAATATTTGAGGAAATAAGCACAGACTAAAATGCCAAAGAAAGACTTTGAAAACCGCAAATTCCTATTTTAAAAGGCAGCTACTAAAATAAAATCCCAAAGACATTAAACAGTGTAAGGGCTTGTCCACACCGAGTGCGGAGCAGATGCAGAGCAGTTACAGAATGCATCAGAAATGCATCCAATGTATTCCAATGGTATTTTGGGCTCTAGTTCACACCAGAGCGTTCAGTTCCAGTCCATGTGGAAAAACTGCAGCATGCCCTATTTTTTCTGCTCTGGAATGCACCAAAACGCATGCAAACTCCCTGGAACCCACTGAAAGCCCATTTTAGGGGGGAAAAAAAAAAAAAAAGGTATATATATTTTATTTTATTTTTAAACGGCCCGGAACGTGGCAAAAACACAGCAAAACACTGCACGTGCTGAAATGCATGCAGATCTGGTCCACATTTGGTGTGAAGAAGCCCTGAAAGCCCATTTTAACCTCCCTGGCTGGGGGTTAATTTTCAGTACCATAAGCGGTAACCCCGAGCCACACTCGGGATTACAGCGTAGCGTTACTTACCTTGTCCCTCGAGCCGCGCGGTGTACTCTGGCCGATGTTGGCATTAGTCTTCCTTCCCTTGCGAGCGGCTGCGTCGCAAGGGGGCGCAACCGGCGGGAATTTCAAAAAAGAAAAAATAACTAACTAAAGAAAAAAAATCATGGAGAAAAATAGAACATAAGAAGGGGGGGG